AGAGGTAGAGGGAGAAGCAGGCTCCCTGCTGAGCAGGGAGCCCGATGCGGGACTCGATCTGAGGACCCTGGGATCATGACCTGAGCCAAAGGCACACACTTAACCATCTGAGCCACCCAGGCACCCAGGTTTTTTATTTCTAAGCTAATTTTAAGTTCCGTTTTTCTGGAGATTTGTCCATTTCTTTAAGTTTTCAAAATTATTTGCCTGTAGTTGTTGATAATAGGCTCAGTTTTCATCTGCTATATTTGTAGTTATTTCCATTTCTTATAATATTTGTGCCTTCTCTTTTTATCTATTTTGTTAATTTGTCAAAGAACCATCCTTTGGCCTTTTTAAAATTTTTATTGTATATTTTCTGTATTGATTATTTCTATAATTTTAAACAGCTTTATAATTGACATACAATAAACTGTATACACATTTAAAGTATAAAATTTATTAAGTTTTGACATATGTATGTGGTGAAACCATCACCACAGTTGAGAGTGTGAACATATCCATCATCCCCCGAATTTTTCTTGTGCCCCTTTGTAATCCTCCCTCTTGCTGATGCCCACTCCTCTGTCCCTAAGCAACTACTGATCTGTTTCTGTCGCTCTAGATTAGCTTGTATTTGCTAGGGATTTATATAAATGAAATAAGGCATTATTGTATTAACTATTTGTTTTTGATGCTTTGACATCTAGGGCCTCCCTTACCCTAAAGAGACTGCCCCTCTCAGGGTTAGCCAATTTCTAGAGATCATAAACAGCTCACCTGCTAGTGTGCCTTTCATATGCAAACCAGCCAATTCAGATCCCATACCCCAACCACCTGCTCCTTTATAGGGCTTTCACATTCTAGGTCACTATCTGCTCATTCACCCCCAGGCCAGGTACCAGGCAATTAAAGATAGCCTCTAAACCCAGAGTTTATTCAGATTAGCTAATCCTAACCTTTTTGCTTTGCCTCGCCTCTGCCTGTTTCTTTCTGCAGAAGCCACAATAGCCGAATAACCGTTCTTACTCATGTTGTCTCCTTACTCCCCCTGCTTCCTAACCAGCCCTGGTGCTTCATGTGGCCCCTGTATGGCGTGGCATGCCACCTTCTCGGGAATTGTGAATAACAAACTGTCTTTTCAATGGCAGTCATCTGATTTGTTGGTCTCGTCATAACTGAATAATAATAAAACCTGTGTTTTAAAACAAGTATTTACTCTTTTGTTTCTTAGCATAATTATTTTGAGATTCATCCATGTTGTTGTGTATATCGATAGTTCATTCATTTTTATTGCTTAACCAACTGAGCCACCCAGGCGCCCTCATTTTTATTGCTGAGTGATATTCTCTTACATGGATATAACAAAATTTGTTTACTGATATACTGATGGACTTTGGGGTTGTTTCCAGTTTTCAGCTATTACAAATAAAGCTTCTGTGAACATTAGTGTACAAGCTTTTGTATGAACGTACATTCTTCTTGGATAAATACCCAAGAGTGGAATGGTTGGATTGTATGGCAGGTTTATGTTTAACTTTTTAAGAAACTGACAAATGATTTTTCAAACAGGTTATACCATTTTACATTCCCATGAGCAGTGTGAGGGTTGTGATTTCTTCATATCCTTGACAATACTTGATATTATCAGTCTTTTAATTTTAGCCACTTTAGTGTGGTATTTTGCGTTTTATTCTGCATTTCCATAATGATTAATGATTTATAACATATTTCATGTGCTTGTTTGCCTTACATATATCTTCTTTGGTGAAAATGTATCTTCAGATTTTTTTCTTGTTTTATTGGGTTGCTTATTTTCTTATTGTTGTCTATATAATATAAAATTTACCATTTTAACCATTTTTAAGTGTATAGTACGGCATTAAGTTCCTCACATTGTTGGGTAACCATTATCACTGTCCATCTCTAAAACTTTTTATCCTGCAAAACTGAAATTCTGTACCTATTGAGCAACTCTTCACATTCTCCCCTCCCTGCCCCCCCCCCACAACCCCTGGTAACCACTATTCTGCTTTCTGTCTGTATGAATTTGACCATATTCTTTTTTTTTAAAGATTTTATTTATTTATTTGACAGAGAGAGACACAGTGAGAGAGGGAACACAAGCAGGGGGAGTAGGAGAGGGAGAAGCAGGCTTCCTGCTGAGCAGGGAGCCCGATGTGGGGCTCGAACCCAGGACCCTGGGATCATGACCTGAGCTGAAGGCAGACACTTAACGACTGAACCACCCAGGCGCCCCAGATCATATTCTTAATATAAATGAAATCACATGATATTTGTCCTTTTGCAACTGGTTTATTTCATTTATTATTGTGTCTTCACGGGTCATCCATATGGTAGCATATGTCAGAATTTTCTTTTTAAGGCTGAATACTCCAGTGTATGTATATACCACATCTTGTTTATCCATTCTTCTGTCAGTGGATACTTAGGTTGCTTCTACCTTTTGGCTGTTGTGAATAATGCTGCCATAAACATTGGTGTACAAAATATCTGTGTGAGTTCCTGCTTTCAGATCTTTGGGGTATATACCCAGAAGTAGAATTGCTCTATCATATGGTAATTCTTTATTTTTTATTTTGAGTAATAATCACCTTACTGTTTTCCACAGTGACCGCAGCATTTTACATTTCCACCGACAGTGCACAGGTTTCCAGTTTCTCCACATCCTTGTCAACACATGTTATTTTCCCCTTTTTATCTTTCTCTTTTTTTTCTTTTAAGTAATAGCCATTCTAGTGGGCATGGAAGTGGTGTCTCGATATGGTTTTGACTTGCATTTCCCTAAGGATTAGTGATTTGAGCATCTTTTTGTATTTTTATTGGCCATTTTTCTTCCCTGGAGAAATGTCTGTTCATGTCCTTTGCCCATTTTTTAATCGGGTTGGCTTCTTTGGTTGTTGAGTTGTAGGAGTTCTTTATATATTCTGATTTTCAATTCCTTATCAGGTGATTTGCACACGTTTTCTCCCATCTGTTGGTTTTCTTTTTATTCTTTTGATAGTGATCCTTGATTGATGCACAGCTGTTTTTAATTTTGATGAAGTCCAGCTTACCTGTTTTTTTGTTTTGTTGAACTGTGCTTCTAGTGCCATATTTTAAAAAGCATTGCCAAATCCAGTGCCATGGAGCTCCCCCCCCCCCCATATTTTCTTCTAAGAGTTTTACAGTGTTAGCCCTTATGTTTAGGTCTTTGATCCATTTTTAAGACCTAATGGTCTTTGAACCATTGTTCAAAGGCTAGGTGTTAGGGAACCAACTTCATTTTTTTGCATGTGGATACAGTATCCAGTTTTCCCAGCACCATTTGTTGAAAAGGCTGTCCTTCCTCCATTTTTGCATCCTTGTCAAAAATATTTGGGTATATTTGTGTGTGTTTGTTTCTGGTTTTGTTTTATTTCATAGGTCTGTAATTTATCCCTTTGCTAATACCACACTGTCTTAACTATGGTATCTGTATACTAAGTCTTAACATTGGGTAAATGGATTTCTCCCATTTTATTCTTCCTTTTCAAAATTGCCCCTGGTTTGTTTTTGTTATTTTATGCATGTAACTGTACTATACTTTGGTTTCATATATCCATTAATTTATTCCAAGGTGTGCTTAAACAGAGCAAATACTTTTCCACATTCTTCTTTGTCTTAATCAATCTGCAATATAAATTTATACCAAACTAATTCGTTTATTGAAGTAATCTGATTGACTTCCTTGCCTCCAGGCTCATCTCTCTCCAGGCCCCAAAACTTAATCTTGCCTTAGGTGTAACTTAATCTTTTTTATACCTTTGGTAGTCCTGAATTTCATCAGTGGAAGTGAGCATCTCTTCAGGGTTTCAGACTTTTGCTAATTTTGGGGAAGGGGGGTCCTTTTCCCTTTGTTTTGGACCTCTCTGCCACATTGCCTTAAGAGAAGACCTATAGTAATGAAAGTTGGTTTCTGGTGTACTAGGCCTTCTTCAGAAGCCTTCAGCAGGTTTTCAAGCTCTTTTCTCTACCTGGCAAGTATTCAGTGTGCTGTTCCTACCCCACCCTCTCTTGATGGCATATATCAGTTTTCTACTCATCCAAACCCACCTACTCCTGCCTCTTGCGCTTGTCAGATGTCTCTTGCCTGGCGCTCTCATTGCAGCTTTCGTCACTCTTACAGCTGTCTTCTTCCTTTCTTTGGCTTACTGCCTGACTTCCGTGGCAGCTGCTCTGTCATTGCTTGTCTGCCATTCTGCCCCTTCTCCCACCCTCATACCGCGCACCCCTGCCCCATGTAGATACGTCATGTGCATTCTCCATGTTCAGAACTAAGCTATCACCTTCTCCATGGTATGTCACGTCCCCAGAGTGGTCATCCTCCTGCTTATAGCATTACGATTCACCTAAGTCAGACACCTGGACCCTCTTTACCTCTGGCATCTCATTGTTAAGTCTTCAGTTCTACCCCTGTGAAAGGGTTCCTGGATCCAGTTCAACGTGTGTGTGTGTGTGTGTCTCGCTTTGCCACACCAGCAGACAATTTTTGTACACCAGCATTGTGTTCAAGAATTCAACCCAATTCTGACACTATCTACTCGGAGATAGAATCAGATTCCACAGGTAAAGGGCTCAGTCCCATAGGACCTCCCTCTGGTTCAGACGACCGGCTACCAGTTGGTGGTTCCATTGACCCCCCTCCAACTCAGGATGCCAGTCACAAGGCCAGGTGATTACCTCTACTTCTGACCAACTGGCTGTAAATCAAAGGTTCCCAGGACCTTGGGCTTGATTAATTTACCATAACAGCTCACAGTACTCAGGAAAACCTGTTTACTCACTAGATAATTGATGTATTACAAAAGATATTACAAGATACAAATCAACAGCCGGATGAAAAGATAACATTGACGAAGTCCCAAGCAAAAGAGCTTCTGTCGTTGTGGAACTTGGGGCTTGGCAGAGTGGCAAATGGAAGTATTCTAGTTTCCCAGTGTGGAAGCTCTCTGAACCCCCTTCTTTTTTGTTTTTTATAGAGACTTCATTACATGGGCACAGTTGATTAATTCATCGGTCATTGGTGATTGATTCAACCTCTCGCTGCTCTTCCCAAGAAATCAGGGTGGGACTGAAAGTTCCAACTTTCTATTCACGGTTGGTCCCCCTCACAACCAGTCTCCATTCTTACGTGCTTTGCAAAAGTCACCTTCATTAATATAAACCCAGTTATGGTGGAAAGGCTTTATTATGAATTATAAAACACACATTTCACCTTTATGGCTGTGAAGCATTTTTAGGAACTGAGGGCAAGAGACAATATACAACAAAAGATCCTCCTTGTTCTTGTCTCAGGACATTTTAAGGGTTTGGGAGCTGTGAGCCAGGAACTGTGAATGAAGATCAAATATATCTGAGAAATACATTTTGGTCATCTGAATGACCAAATATATATATATATTTTTTATTGAAGTATATTTGACACACAATGTTACATTAGTTTCAGGTATACAATAGTGTGATTCATCAAGTCTCTACATTTATGTGTATTTCTTATAAATCACAATGTCATGCCCTGTAAATCCTCTTATCAGAGTCTCTAGATACTCCTGCCCTGCCCTGAGGTCCTCCTGGTTTGTTGGCTAGATTACTCTTTTTTTTTTTTTTTAAGATTTTATTTATTTATTTATTTGAGAGAGAGAGAGAGAGAGAGAGAGAGAGAGAGAGAAACAGCATGAGAGGGGATAGGGTCAGAGGGAGAAGCAGGCTCCCCAACGAGCCGGGAGCCCGATGCGGGACTCGATCCCAGGACCCTGGGATCATGACCTGAGCCGAAGGCAGTTGCTTAACCAACTGAGCCACCCAGGCGCCCTGGCTAGATTACTCTTGAAGGCTTCAGTCAGTGGCCCTCCTAACCTCAACCCCACCAGTTAGTTGATCCTCCACCCTGCTGTCATTTTTTCTGAAATCCAAATTATTCCAGTCATTCTCTTTGTGCTAAAGCCTTTGGTGGTTCCTTAGTGTGTTCAGTGCAAGATCAAAACTTTTTATTGTGGGGGCACCTGGTTGGCTCAGTCAGTTGAGCAGCCGGCTCTTGGTTTCAGCTGGTGTCATGATCTCAGGGTTGTGGGATCGAGCCCCGTGTCAGGCTCTGTGCTCGGCCCCGAGTTGGCTTGAGATCCTCTTCCTCTGCCCCCTACCCAATCTGCGTGCCAACGTGCACACATATACACGCACACTCTCTCTCTCAAATAAATAAAATAAATCTTTAAAAACTTTTTATTGTGGCATATAAGCCCCTCCAGGATCTGATCACTGCTTCTGGTCACCTCACTGCCTGCAGTACTTCCACATATCCTCACAGACCCCAGTCTTTCAGGTCGGTCATTTTCACATTCATTTAATGCATACTTACTGAGGTCCTGCTTGATGCCCTTACCCAGCTCTTTGCCATTCCTGGAACCAGATAGGTTTATTCAAGCCTCCAAGTCCTCTCACTTGAAGGACTGTTTCTGACCATTTTCTTAGCTCACTACTCTTTATCCTCCCAAGTTCAGCTCAAGCATTACCTCCCCTGAAAATTCCTTCTCTGGTCTGCAGTTTCACCACCTTAATGTTAATCAGCTAACATTATTTATGGCAGGTGATAATTAAGAGTTTGAACAAACTGTTTGTGCCTCACTACTGGCAAGGGAACTACTGGATGACAGTGTCCATATCTAATCTGTCTGGTGGTATTCCCAACATTAGGTAAAGCGTGAAGGCAAGGACATGAGCTTTTGAGTTTTTAAAAGCCTTGATTTGGAATCCTAATAGCCACTCAATAGGTATGTGGCCTTGAGGAAATTCCTTAACCTCTGTGATCTGAAGATTCTTCATCTGTAGAGTGGGAAAAGGATATCTAACTCATCAGGTGGTTGTGAGGATTAAATGCATTCAAGTATATAGAATGCCTGGTACTAGTGCCAAGCACATAGCGGCAGCCAAGGATTGTAGTTGCAAAAATAGTTTTTGTTCTTAATAATAAATAATATAATGTTGATTGAGTGAACAATTAGCTGAAGGAATTGAATCCTCCTTCTAGGTGCCTTTTACTCAAATCAGAGAACCTGAACAGCTCTAGGAGAAGGCCTGGGCAGAGCTTAACAGTCCTAGCTGCCACTTCTTTGTTTCTCCCACACCTGAGAGACATCCTCAGTAAGACTGAGAGTGGAATACATATCTTTCTCCCAGAGAGCTTCATCTCCATGAAAGAGGTGAGTTTACTTAAGACTAGTACTTGAACAGTCATAATATATTGAATATCTGAAAATCAGTGATTGATTAATGTGAGCACATTTAAAACATTCACTGCCCCTTTGCTTAGAAATATATAAAATGGAAATAATAGTTTTAGTTGGCATTAGGAAGATTGATCTGTTTCTACATTTGTCTTTACGCTTTTTTTTTTTTTAAGATATAGTTATCTATTGTGGGGGGAGGGGCAGAAGGAGAGAGAGTCTTAAGCAGATTTCCTCACTGAGCAAGGAGCCCAACGCAGGGCTTGAACTCATGACCCCAAGATCAAGACCTGAGCCAAAACCAAGAGTCCGTCATCTAATGAACTGAGCCACCCAGGTGCCCCTAGTCTTTACAGTTTTAAAAGAACAGATCATGGGGCGCCTGGGTGGCTCAGTTGGTTAAGCGACTGCCTTCAGCTCAGGTCATGATCCTGGAGTCCCAGGATCGAGTCCCGCATCAGGCTCCCTGCTCAGCAGGGGGTCTGCTTCTCCGTCTGACCCTCTTCCCTCTCGTGCTCTCTCTCATTCTCTCTCTCAAATAAATAAATAAAATCTTAAAAAAAAAAAAAAAAAAAAAGAACATCATGATAAGATTTGTGAAGAGAAGTCAGGTAGCCCTGGATTTGAATTCTACTTACACAATTTAACAGCTATGTGATCATCTTTCAATTTCTTTATCTGCAAAATGGGAGTTAAGAAGAGTATGTAATTTATAGAGTTGCTATGAGATTGAACGGAGATAAAATGCCAGATACTGAGATAATTTGTATCTGACACTTGATCACATTTTATTAGTGCTAATGTATTGAATATTGAATGCTTAACTTGGAATAGATATTCTCTTAATGGAAGCTATCACAGCCAAAGTCTACACTCTTGGCAATGTGCAGATTGGCTGAGCTTTCCTTTGCTGGTGGGGGCTTCACAATATTGATTCCTTGAAATATTTTTTCTTTAGCAAATGAATGCAGCATTGTACTTACTAGCAAGAGGGCTGAGAAAAATACATTCCAGAACACCTTCATTCCCATTCCTAGATCATCACAAGTCATAATATTAAGAGTTGGTCTTCTTATTCCTTATAACTAGCTGTATCAGGATTGGAGTTAGTTGTATAGATCAGAAAATAAAATAGGTTTTTTTCTTTCTCATATATATGAAATAAAAATAAGCAGGACTGGTATTGCAGTTAGTGTCATCAGAGAACTTGATTTCTTTCTAGCTCTCTATTCTGCTATCTTTAGGTCATTTCAGGGTCCATAAAGGCTGCCGGGGCTCCAATGATCACATCTAAATTCCAGATTACAGGAGGAAGGAATGGGGTGAGTGGCGGGGGCAACCCCTTCCTTCCCTTTAAAACCACCTTCCTAGAAATCTCATCATACAGTTTAGCTTATAACTCCTTGGCCAGGATTTAGTCACTTGTCCACAACTAACTTAGAAAGGGGCGTGTTCTTCCCTAGTATTAGCACCCAGTTTTCTTCCTTCTTCCTCTTAGGAGAGGATGACATGTCTTTCGGGACCTCTCAGGGTCCAGTGATAGGGAGTGTATGTTTGGGCAAGGAGTGTTTCTCTTTAGCCTAAAGCCAAAGTAATCTTTTCTCTAGCAGATATTCAGTATGCCTGTAATGGTGCAAGTTGTATATCTGGAATAATTTAGCCCTGAAATGCATGTAAGGATCTATAATTGACTGCTTATAAAGTTAACATCCAAGATTTCTGTAGTTCCAGAGGAACACCCCCACCCCCAAAGGTACACAGCACTGTAAGTTGCAGTAACACCAGTATCAGCATCATAGGGTTGGGAGGGTTGAGTGAGAGGAGGCATACAGAGTGTGCAGTGCACGTGGGGCTTTGAGACCTGAGGGGAAGTGTACGTGATTTAATAGCTAGTGAGCACTGCCTGCCATCCATGTCTTCACCACTGAGTGCAGAGCCTCCACATGTTTCCATAGAGAGAATGTCTCAGATGTACGCTGAATTTGAATTTTAAGAACATTTAGGAAATGCGCTTAGACCCTCAAAATCAGGAAAACAGCAGTTATAGTTTTTTAGAATTTCATTTGTCATATATCCTAGGGCTTTTAAGTATTGTCAGTGGCATCTTGGTTTTCCTCTGTTGTTAGAATGTTAAACTTTCCTGACTGAGCACCCTAATGTATGTGCAGTGGAACCAAATTTTTTTTTTTTTAATTAAAGATTGTATTTATCTTTTTGCCAGAGAGAGAGAGAGAGGGAGAGTACAAGCAGGGGGAGTGGCAGGCAGAGGGAGAAGCAGGCTCCTCGCTAAGCAAGGAGCCCGATGTGGGACTTGATCCCAGGACCCTGAGATCATGACCTGAGCCGAAGGCAGACGCTTAACCATCTGAGCCACCCAGGTGCCCCCCACATTTTTTTTTTTAACTAAGAAATGCTTTTGTGATGAAATAAGGACTGTATATTGACCCTTTTTCTGGGTGTGGTAGAATAGGAGGGAAAACACAATGTGTGTGCCATTGTGTCTGATAAATCGGGGAACTGCCCAGACTTCATGACTCATCTCCCAGAGCCTCCCTGCTCAGTTATTCTTTAACTTACAGTTAACCAAAGGATTATGATTCACAAGTGCTTTTTGAAAAATGAACAATGTATAAATTTGAGTTTCTTCCATTATCTTGGTTTTCCTGAAATATGTAATTCTGTCTTTACTCAGGCCAGTCTTGCCTAATCAAAAATGATGTATGTGACAGAGGAAGAAATCATATACAATTAACTCTTACTTAACAAAAGCAAACAGAAAGACTGGCTAAAAGAATTGATATATATATATATATATATATATATATATAAAGAATTGATATATAGACACGGTGAAACACTGTGTAACCACTGAAAAGAAAGGTAGCTAGATGTATTGATATGGAAGATGTCCAGGATTTATTAAGTAAAAATGCAAGCTGTAGGTAGTATGTGTAATATGACCCTTTTTATAGATTTTTTTTTTAAAAAATGTATAGTTATATTCTGGTATAGCATAGAAAATTTCTAAAAGAATATAGAAGAAAGTATTGAGTGATTACTTTTGGGAAATAGACGGGCAGGAGGTGAATGAGACCTATGTTTTGCTTTCTATCCCTCTGTATTTCTTTTAATGAGCATGTATATTATTTTTTTTGGAGTAGTTTATGAAAGAGAAGTAGGCCAGTGTCCTTCATATATAACAAAAGCAGTATTTTAATAGACTACATTAAAAGATTCCATTCATTTCAGCTAGAAGATGAATAAGGTCTGAGGATCTAATGTAAAAACATGGTGACTATAGTTAATAACACTGTATTGTATAATTTAAATTTGTTAAGAGAGTAGGATTTAAACATTCTCACCAAAAATAAGATGTAAGATGATGAATGTGTTAATTAACTAGATAGGGGGGATCCTTTCACATTGTGTATGTATATCAAATCCCCATGATGTACACTTTAAATATCTTATATGTCAGTTATACTCATAGCTGAAATTAAAAAGATTTCATTCACAGTGGCAGCATAATATAACCAGGAATTAATGCAGGAAGACATGAATAGGACAAAAAATAGAATAAGTACAGTTAATACTTTGAAGAACATCAAAAAAAAAAAAAGTAAATGAAGAAAATACTGTCCGAAGAGTATAAAATTCAATACCATAATATGCCAGTTCTCCCTGAACTGATTATTTTATCCGCCTTTTATTATAAAAAATTTCAAATATAGAGAAAAATTGAGAGAATTTTATATCCATCCCCACCACCTAGACTCTATAATTAACATTTTATTCTACTTGTTTTATCATGTATCTGTCCACTGTCCCTGTGTTCATCCATCATTCATACTGTTTTTAATGTATTTCAAACAAGTGCTTATATCAGTACACTTCTTCCCAAATACTTAAGCATGCATATCATTTATGATACTCATCTATGGGTAGAATCGTTTTCAGAGGTGAAATTTATGTGCAAATACACAAACGCATTTCCTTGTCAAAATAAGGGATATTACTGTTGTCCAGGAAGGTACCCTCATGTTCCTTTCCAGTAAATCTTCATCTCTTTCCCAGGCAAGCATTGTTCTGATTTTTTTCCCACCATAGATTAGGTTTTTAATTGTTTGTTTGTTTTAAGATCTTATTTATTTATTTGACAGAGAGACACAGTAAGAGAGGGAACACAAGCAGGGGGAGTGGGAGAGGGAGAAGCAGGCTTCCCGCCGAGCAAGGAGCCTGATGCGGGGCTAGATCTCAGGACCCTGGGATCATGACCTGAGCCGAAGGCAGATGCTTAACGACTGAGCCACCAGGCGCCCCGGTTTTTAATTGTTTTTAAGACTTTTTAATTTTGGAAGCACCTGGGTGGCCCAGTTGGTTCAGCATCCAGCTCTTGATTTCAGCTCAGGTCATGTGAGAAAATACCATTGTTTATATAATCTCTTATTGATGGTTACCTGGGTTGCTTTCAGTTTTTTGTTATTATGAACATTTTTGTGCTAGTCATTTTGTGGACATACGTTTTTATATCTCTTGGGTAAATATATAGGAGTAGAATTACTGGTTCATGAAGTAGGTGTATATTTAGTTTTATAAGAAGCTGTCAGACAGAAGTGAAAATATCACAAATAGTAGCTCATCCTAAAAATCATTCTGTGAAAGGCGAAACCATTCCCACTATTAGAATTTGTAGACAGGGTTTCTGGTATTGAGGAGACTACGGCTGGCAGTGCTAGTTTCCTTCTGACATTTGATAGTACATATTTTCCTTGGATTCAAACTATTTAACCATTCATCTGTATCTGTATTCATCTAAGTAGATCTTTATCATAGAACCAGCTTTTAAAATCAATTCAGAGAGAGGTGTGGAGAAGAGATGAATTTTGGAACGTATGGGATATCAGTAAATCAGATGTGACAGAGGGAAGTCGAGGGATTTAACAACAAAGAGGTGTTGTGTTTGTGGGGGGGGGGGGAGGAGAGGGAGAGAGAAATACCAGTGGCTCCCCTGCCCCATGAATTTTAATTTTTTGAAAAGGTTGTTTTTGGGGCGCCTGGGTGGCTCAGTTGGTTAAGCGACTGCCTTCGGCTCAGGTCATGATCCTGGAGTCCCGGGATCGAGTCCCGCATCGGGCTCCCTGCTCGGCAGGGAGTCTGCTTCTCCCTCTGACCCTCCCTCCTCTCATGTGCTCTCTCTCTCTCATTCTCTCTGTCTCAAATAAATAAATAAAATCTTAAAAAAAAAAAAAAAAAAAGAAAAGGTTGTTTTTAAGATGGTTCAAAATCAGAAGGTGTCTTATGTACTGAAATGGTCTCCAAAGAGTCTCCTCTTTTTGTTTAACAGGCCTCATAGTATTCCATTTTATGAATATGCCATCATTTATTTAATCACATTCCCCTCTCCTGTTGGTAAACATTCAGGTTATTTCCACTGTTTTTCTGTTGCTGCATTGAATAACTTTGTACATAGGGAACTTTAAAAGTATGGGTATATCTGTAAAATTCTCAAGTGGAATTGTGTCAAAGGGTTTGTGTGTTTGTAAACACACAAAGGGTTTGTGCTGAATATTTATAGATCATATGAGAGTACCTGATTACTCAAACCCTTATCAATGCATTGTTAAAGTTTTTTATATTTGTCTATCTGATAGGTGAAAACTGGTATCACAGTGTAGCTTTAATTTGGACTTCCCTAATCATGAGTGAGGTTAAGCAATTTTTTTTTTTTTTAATTTAAGAGAAGCATTTACTTTTCTGTGCGTTGTCAGTTTCATATCTTTTGCCCATTTTTCTTTTGGATTGTTCCTTTTTTATTAATCTGTAGGAGTCCTTTATATATTGGGAAATAAGACATTTGTGAATGAGTTAGAAATATTTTTGAAGAGCTCATTCTTTAAAAATTTAGAAGTAGTTAGTTGTTTTAGTGGAATGGAGGAAAAAGAAGCCAGATTGCCATGGAGACAACTCTTTCGAGAAAATTGGCTGCAAAGTAGAGTAGAGAGAATGCTAGCTGAAGGATTGATATAGAGTCAAAGCAGTTCTCCTTTTCTTTTAGAAATTATTGTGTTTAAATGCTGTTATGAAAGGGAGGAGTTAAAGTTACGGGATGGTGGTAGGGGATCTACAGGACAAGGTTCCTGATGGTCTGAGATTCTTGGGAGGAATTGCAGAGGAGGAGGAAATTCGTAAATATGTTGACTGGGCGTTACGGGTGTCATGCAGTCCATTGTCTTCTATTTTCTCTGAAGTGAAGAAGGCAAGGCCAGTAGCTAAAAGTGTGGGAGGAGGTGATTGGAGAGGAGAGAGAGGTTCTTTGAAATCA